CCGCTTCCCCAGCTCCACTCACCAGGAACTGGAGCATGATGTCAGCGAAGACGGCGCGAAGGGCGGTGGTAGCTCCGTGGGCCCTTCCTCTCCAGCCTCCCCGGTGCGAGGGGCGGAACCCGCCGTCGGCTTCCGGGTCACCCCTCCGCCCCGCCCTCCTCGCCTTGCCTCACCCGGAAGCCGTTCGCGGTGCCTGGGCGCCCCCTGGCGGAGCTCCTGGGAATTGCCGCCTGAATTGGCCCACTGGCGAGAAAGCTAGCCAGAAGGAAGTCCCAAGTCCCAAGTGGGGCTGGACAGTTTTGAACATTCAGAATCCGAGACCCCAATCCCGGAATCGCTGGGGTTATTACCAGAACCCCAGGGATTCTGATGCACAGCCAGGTTTAGATCTTTCTTACCTTTATATGGACCGCGTGAGGCAGAGGTTCCCATCCCCAGGTGCAAAATAAGTTACAGATCAATAACAACTTACAAAACAAAGCAAAACAAAAGAAATATTAAAATTGCTAGGCAGAAAGGGTGAAATTCTTTTATAATCTCCAAATTAGAAGATTTTTCACATGACCAGCATGATACAAAATGCAGAACCAAAGAAGAAAAGATAAAATCAATGACAAAAAAAAATTGTTTTTAATTGTATGGGGGGAAAAATAGATGAAAAATATTGTTTGTAAAATAAGTGATGAAGGACTAATTTCCCTTAAATAAAGAGTGCCTACAAACCAACAGAACAAAAATCCAATATAATGTAGTTAAAGGACGTGAACAGCTTAGAGAAAAGGAAATACAAATAGCACAAATATATGGAAAGATACTCAGTGGTATTCATACTCAGAGAAATGTAAATTACTACTGTTGTAACGTACCCCGCGAATCACAGAAGGACACCTCAAGAAGTCGAATTAAAGAGTCACATATATTGCAATCCGGGACTATGAGGGGCCATTCCCCAAATCTCATAGCAGCAAGATGGTGGCAGAACCAGACTTAAATAGGCAAAGATCACAAAGGTATTGATTACATCTCAAGGTTTGGAATGAGGAACCTGGTTTGCAAAAAAGCAGTTTACAGAAGCAGAATTAAGCATGTTAATTACAGTTTTGGGTCTCGGGGTCACTGAATTGACAGAAACACCTTATCTAGAGCCCTGGGTTGCCAGGAACTCATTATCTAGAGCCATCGAGGTAATTTAGAGTAATTGCGCTGTCCTGGTCTTGGGACCACAGAGTCAACTGGAACGCCATTATCTGTGGCCACTAAAACAATTTAGGGTAATTGTGCTGTCCTGTTTCCCAGGTACAGAAGAATGTGCTTCTATAACCAGTAAGATCACAATCAATGGGATAGTCACTTTACAATCATAAGGCATTCAATCGAATGGGATGATTTATACAATTCAGAAAATCAAAGGAACTTTTCTATTGTTAAGCCAAACAACAGGGTTAGAGTTAAACTACAGTTTCAATCTGAGATGACTGCTACCATACTTCACTACCAACATAAGGTGCCATTTTCCTCCAATTGCCAAAAATCAAAAAGCTTGATAACATAATGCATTGGAAAGAATGCAGAAAAGGACATAGCCATATAATATTGATAGGGATACAAATAGTTAAAAATTTCTTTGATTGCAATTTGGCCAAAACTATCATAAGTTTAAATTAGCATACCATTTGTCTCAGCTATTGCGTGAAATTGATAAGCTGAACTTCATTAAAATTAAAAACTTCTGCCCTGCAAGACAATACCAAGAGAGTTAGAAAGAGAGTAAGAGAAAATATTTGCAAAAGATACACCTGATAAAGGACTGTTATCTAAAATGTACAGCCCTGCCGAAACCAGTTTGGCTCAGTGGATAGAGCGTCGGCCTGTGGACTGAAAGGTCCCAGGTTCGATTCCGGTCAAGGGCATGTACCTGGGTTGCGGGCACATCCCCAGTAGATGTGCAGGAGGCAGCTGATCGATGTTTCTCTCTCATCGATGTTTCTAACTCTCTATCTCTCTCCCTTCCTCTCTGTAAAAAATCAATAAAATATATTTTAAAAAAATAAAATAAAATAAAATGTACAGCCCTAGTCGGTTTGGCTCAGTGGATAGAGCGTCAGCCTGCAAAATGAAGGGCCCCAGGTTCAATTACAATCAAGGGCACATGCCCGGGTTGCGGGCTCAATCCCCAGTAGGGAGGGTTCAGGAGGCAGCCAATCCATGATTCCATCTCATCATTGATGTTTCTCTCTCTCTCTCTCCCTATTTCTTCCTCTCTTAAATCAATAAAAATATATTTAAAATAAAATAAAATGTACAAAAAACTCTTAACACCCAACAATAAAAATCAGCCTGATAACCAGGGATATGCAAATCAAAATGAGAAACCACTACACACCTATTAGATTGGACAAAGTCCAGAACGCTAACACCAATGCTAGGGAGCATGCAGAGCAACAGGAGCTCCCACACATTGTTGGTGGGAATCAAAAAGGTACAGCCACTTTGGAAGACAGTTTAGTAGTTTCTTACAAAAGTAAACATACTCTTACCATATAATGCAGCAATTTTGCTCCTTGGTGTTTACCCAAAGGTGTTAAAAACTTATGTTCGCATAAAAACCTACACAGGGGTCTTTATAGCAACTTTGTTCATAATTACCAAAACTTGGAAACAACCAAGAGGTCCTTCAGTAGGTGAGTGGATAATAACTGTAGTACACCCAGACACTGGAATATTATTCAGCACTAAAAAAAAAAAAAAAGCTACCATGCAATGAAAAGTTGAGGAAGCTTATTACTAAGTAAAAGAAGCTAATTTGAAAAGCCTACATACTGTATGATTTCTACTATATGAAATTATGGAAAAGACAAATCTATGGAGACAATAAAAAGATCATTTGTTGCCAGGGAGGGGGTGGGGTATGGATACATGAACAGGCAGAGTGCAGAAGATTTTTAGGGCACTAGTAATACTCTGTATATTTCAGTGATGGATATATCTCATTATACATTTGTCCAAATCCACAGAATGCACCCCCCACCCAAGAGTGAACCCTAAGATAAAAAACCATGGGCTTTGGGTGATTATGATGTGTCAATATAGGGTCATCTTCAGTAAAAATGTACCACTCTGGTAAGTGATGTTAATAATGGGGAAGGCTATACACGTATGGAGATCGGGAGTATATGGGAAATCTCTGTATCTTCCTCTCAATTTTATTGTATCTTCCTCTATTTTGAGAACTGAAACTGTTTTTGTTGCCTTGGCTGGTTTACTCAGTGGATATAGAGCATCAGCCTGCAGACTGAAGGGTCTCAGGTTCGATTCTGGTGAAGGGCACATGCCCAGGTTGTGGGCCCAATCCTCAGGGGGTGTGCAGGAGGCAGCCAATCAATGATTCTCTTTCATCATTGGTGTTTCTCTCTCTCCCTCTCCCTTCCTCTCGGAAATCAATAAAAATATATTTTTTAAAAACTATTACTGCTGATGTGGACCAACAGGAACTCTCACTCCATGGGCAGAATAAATGGGTGCAAACACTAAGAAAAATATTGCAATGTCTAGTGAAATTAAAGCTCTGAATCTCCAACCCAGGATTTCCATTTCTAGTTGCAAAATCCAGAGAAGCCCTCTTACATGTCACATGTCTGACCTAAGGAGACACATATGATAATCATCATTGCAGCAATGTTTGTAATAGCAAAATACTGGGGACTTTAATGTATACTCGTCTACCCCAGTAGAGTTAATAAGTTGTAGGGTATTTGTTAAATGTGGTACTACTATTCAATACTTACAATAAACAAGTATGAGGAATTTTTTTAAAACAATGTTGAACAAAAAAGGCAACCTGCAAATATGTATGACACATAAAGATTAACAAACAACCTGTAAAACAGTACCTTTTACTGCCTAAAAATACACACATATAAATGACAAAGATCAACCATGAATTCTTTTTTTTTTTTAAATATATTTTATTGATTTTTTACAGAGAGGAAGGGAGAGAGATAGAGAGCCGAAAACATCGATGAGAGAGAAACACCGATCAGCTGCCTCCTGCACATCTCCTACTGGGGATGTGCCCGCAACCCAGGTACATGCCCTTGACCGGAATCGAACCTGGGACCTTTCAGTCCGCAGGCCGACGCTCTATCCACTGAGCCAAACCGGTTTCGGCAACCATGAATTCTTGACAATGGTCACCTCTGGGAGGGAAGTAAAGGAATAAGATCAGGGAGTTCACTGATGCCTCAGTTTTATCTACTGAGAGAGACAGAGATAGATAGAGATAGAGGTAGAGATAGAGAGATAGAAAGAGAGATACAGAGCAAATATGATTAAGATTTGATCAAACCAGGCATATGACAAGATAGAGTGGGCACCTGCATGTTAATTAGATTATGTTATTTGTATGATTGAAACAGTACACAATTTTTTTTAAAATAGAAAAGAACGATAAGTCAAAATGTTTTATTTTGAAAACAAGATATTCAGTCTCAAAGATCAACCCACAGATTATTCATAACAATGGGAAAACCAGCTTTACAATGGAGAGATGTGTCAAACACTACCTAAACTAAGTGATCAAACAATATAAAGGAACAAACTGTTATGTCCCCCCTGATATGATATGCTGAGGGCATGATATCACCTGTAAAATGGTAGTATTCTTGCCAATTGAGTATTCTACTGGTTCAACCACTGGGCCACACTGGCCGGGCTAATGTGTGATTCTTGTTGAAATCCTGTAGAAGAAAAAAAAGTTCGAAAAACATTTGGGGGCAATTGAAGATAATTAAATACGAACTGAGTATTAGAAAATTTTATTGTCAAATGTCTTGTGTGATAATGGTATTGTGATTAGGAAAGAAATATCCTTGTTCTTATTTGCTGATATATTACAGAAAAAGTGCCATGATGTCTGTAACCGGCTTTCAAATAGTTAAGGAGGAAACCCAATATATCTATATATATAAAAGCCTAAGCGACCGTTAGGACTGGACAACAGCTATGATGCACACTGACCATCAGGGGGCAGATGCTCAACACAGGAGCTGCCCCCTGGTGGTCAGTGCCATCCCACAGACAACCTCCTGTGACCGACCAACCTCCCGCAGTCCCTCCCCTGGTCGGCCTGC